GTATTAAAATGTAAATAGATCTCACGGATTGGCCAGTTCAAGTATATAGTTTTCAGAAAAGCTGGGATCGTTTTAAAACATATAGGGATCCCGGGATTTGACCAATTCAAGAAAATAGTCTTTGATTTTTCCAATTAATTAGGCATATAATTATAAGTATTGTGATTTCCGCATTTTAAGTTTGTTAATAAATAGCTCTAAATATATCTATATTCTAAGTTAAATTAATTTAACGTTCATTATATACAATAAAAAAATAACGTTTAATGGCCTTTAATTACGACAACAATCAACACAAATATAGTTCATTAGGTTTTTCCTCCATATCTTATACGATCCCGGATCCCGGGCGTCCCGGATCCCGGCCAGTAAATACATACACTAAATACCGGAAAGGATAAAATGACCGGAAAAAAGGAAAAATAAAAAATGCACAGAACCAGATGTACACTTATGTTAATTAACCAAACGAAAACTTACTACAGAGAAAACAGGTGAAATCGCTAAATCAGAAGTCAGTGTAAATATGATTTATGGAAAAGAATTCATAAAGACAAACATTTTAATCATCATTATATCTTTGCGCTCAAAACAATACTTGCTGATTTTTAAAAATGGCGTGAAAATTGAAGGTTTTTTGACGCTTTGTAAGATTAAATTTGATTGGCTAAATAATTTTGGATCCTAGCCCTGATAGATAAATTTTGTAAAAAGCTGGAAGCCAAGCTTCGATTTAATTTTTGGATGGCTTCGGAGTTTTAGGTTGTTTCTCAGTAAAATCCTACCGTAATACCGGCTCGCCGTGGCGAGCCGGCACAATGAAGGTTCCATGATAATCGCCAAATGAACACATCTATAGGTGTTTAAAAAAACCAAAGTTTACCAGTTCATGTTAAATGTGGAAGTCTGCTTAAGCTGGTGCTAAGAGTTGTGGGCGGTAGCTTGCATCCATGAACGGGCTCAATCAAATCGAGTCGGCAACATTTTCATTTCTGCCGTTTCTCTATTTATAACTTAATTGAATTATAAAGTATATAATGGAATCATGGAATAATCTTTCTTCTCTACATACAATTTGATAACAGTTTTTACATAGGACATTTCTTATTATGCAAAAAGTCTCAATCTAAATATATGTACTTTAAGTAAGGTAAATAGCTGTAAATTTTCTACTGAAGAAAACAAAATAGAAGACAATATAACAACCCTTCAAGAATATATTAAATAGAAAGGTATGGGTTATTTCATAAAAATAATGGATACGGCAAGTCTCTAAACTGTAACCGAAATTTGGGTATAATCTGTTACTGTAACAGTAACAAAATCGGGAAGAAATCGCTAGGTCTATGCTGAAACCCTGCAAAGTTCACCTAGCTCTATACTGTAACATTGTTTATTTTTTCAAACGCATTTGACAAACAGGAAAATAGGTTCAACTGGTCATTAACTTTATAAACGTTTCTGAACACGAAGGACTAACGTTTCGTAGGTTTACTTTTTGTCGACATGTTTAACAAATGTCGGAATGTGAGAAAAATGAGTTGGTCTCTCCATTCAAATTTTCAATCTGTCAAATCTGCATATTTATGAGAAAATATAGAGGAAAATCTGCGGTGCAGGGCCTGAAGAAATATATCTAACAAATAATGCATGGCGTTGAGGGCAATATGCAAGGTTACGGACTGATTGGTCAGACGGAGGAAGGTATATGACCCTAAGCGCATTTAAAAATAAAGGTTTTTAGTTGTTTTTTTAAATATCAAAATAATTAAAGTTATAAGTACACTGCACAAATAAAAAAAGATTTTGACGTATACGGACGGAATGCTAGGTTTTCTTTTTTAAACTTAAAGCGGGGAAATCTAAACAAGTTCATTTGAAACATAAACAATTCGAATACTTGAGGTAAACACAACGTGCTGTTTTTGCAAATATTCCGACATAGATAAATAAGCCTTATATATAACAGAATGATCAGTTTGTCGAGTCATTGAGATTCTAATTAAAACACGTTTAGAATTACATATACATTACAAATAGCTAAGTTTGTGTACGTTTTTATAAAGCCTTCTAATAAATTTAAATAGTTTATAAAACAAATAATGTTCTGTAGTATGAGAAAATAAAACAAATCTTAAAATTTTGTTTAAGAAAGAGAAAAGCAAATGAAAAGGGAAGAACAAAGAAAAAACAACTATCTATTGTAGTCAATATAAAACACAATTAACAAATTTTATAATTCCGTTTACTTACTTGAATCACATCTTTTACCATTCCACCCTGCCTGGCAACCATTCAAACATTCTCCATCTGTATGTCTACATATTATGCCTCCCTCTTTACAATGAACATTGCATTGATAGGCGCAATTATCACCATGGTAACCGTTATTACATCCTAAATATGATTAATTAGTAAACATTGTCGAAGAAATCATGACAATAATGTGAAATATATATTCTTTTATAATTAACTTTTTTCCAATCGTTCAATGATATAATTTAATTGTAACACAATTTAATTGATTAAAGGCATTTCTAGTTAAAAAACGTTAACTTTATAACAACAGACCACATGTATTTAGTTGAGTTTCAAAACTCTTTAAGAGAGCGTTTAAAGTAGGTGCCACAAGCGGAATAATAATTTACTGGTGTTATTACAATTCAAGATGATATCGAATAATTCTTGTTGATCAAACATGATATCAGACCGCATTTGGTAACGCGTAACGTAACAGAAATGTTATACAACAATATATAACAACAATACTACAAAATATAAGAAAGCTTACTTGCTGTATATTTATTTCCTTTATAGCCCGGGTAACACCCTTTAATACTATATGGAGGACGTACGTTGCCAAAATAATTCCCGACATGTAAAGTGTTTCTTTTAAACATAACTTTAGCAAATGCGAACTTATATGCCTACCATTATTTATTATATCCGTGCATAGCACATAATATGCTTCTTAATCCAGTTATTTAATTGAAGGTTCCCACCTTTTTTAACACGTGTACATATAAATCTAACAAGTTACCTAACATGGAAAACGACAACAAATTTACAAGTTCGTATCTTCCATTGCATGCAATACATTGCAAATTTGTACACTCAAAGATATCAATCTCTACCTAAGATAAACAAATGAAATATATCGAATACAGAAAATAGATTAAAGAAAAGGTGTTTGAGTGGTAGAGCTACAAGAGTACGTTTACATAGTAACATGAGTAGATTCACAAAGTTAAACGATTTTAAGTCATACATGACGCTCCGCCCCTCCTTGAGTATCTACGAACTTCTTTTGCGGAGAGGTGTAAAACCTGGCGCTTCTCCCACATTGAAGGTTCACACACCGCATTTCTTTTCACTATATTTTTGTTGCATTTGTTTCAAAAGTTTTTTAATTTCAAAAAAAAATAAAACAGTTATAACGGACGCAGTGTTTCACTTTATTGAGATATTTGGAAGAGGACTCGGGTTTTATTCCTGTTCGTATATATCCGTAACAGAAGTTCGTAAATACGCAGAGGGGCGGTGCGTCATGTTTGACGTAAAATCGTTTAACACTAGTGTGTTGTCGTTTTCTGTACTCACAATCCGGAATTTCCAACCATTGATGTAACGCCCGCTGCAATGGCGTTTTATCACCACTAAATATTCTATATTGTTCTCCTATTATTTTTTTCATCTCAATTGAGTTTTATACCGAACATGGCGGTTTAATGACCAGCGTCAAAAAGTAGTCCTCTGTTTTCAGAAAAATTGAATTTATTGCAAGTCGAAAAGTATATGCAATTCAAATTTGAACTACGGTATAAAAATGTAGCAGGTATTAATTAATAGTTCGCCTAATTCGTTGAATTTGTTTGACATTCCCTACCTAGTGTTGTTCCAGAACTGTACAGAGATTTTCAGTATTACTTCGCTTTACCTACTCATCATATATGTTTTTGTATGATATTTCAGAAATTTATAAAAAATAAGAACATTTTTATAGAACAGACTTTTTTAGTTTCCAATTGTTGAGTATATATTGAATGAGAAATAATAATATAAACTAAGAGATGCAATCCGACAACTTCTGTCTTACTGTTAGAACTACAGCTAAACAAGCATTTTCAGCTGAATGACTTTCACTATCATATAACATGTTATGATATGTTTTAAAGTAATATATGTTACTTATGTGATAAAGTAAAGTAATAAGTGTTATTTAGTGACTTGTATTTGTTCCGTAGACCTAAATTTCCACAAGTATTCAAAGTAATTTGAAATATCGCTAGTCATTTCATCCCTAAGAAGTTTTGGCCCCTGACTAGTCTCGATATTTTTACTACAAGACTCACCGATTTTACAAACTGATATTACATATATGTCTGTCTTTACAAGATATGATAGAAAAGATCAACAAGGAAAGACGACTTTCAATGAACGCACCCCTACACACGACCCAGCAGCAAGAAACATCGGCAAGGAGCCCAGGAAGATCGGCAACAAAAATAGGACAAGATGCAAGGCAGAGCACGGACATGTCAATCACTTAAATGATACTAATTGAAAAGGAACACAAATAATTAATTAATAAATAGGCCCATAAAATAAAAGGGGCACAGGGACAAGGGAGACGAAATTCGGGGAAAATATGGGCAAAAATTAAAAAAAACCCAGAAACTTGGGGAAACAGGGAAGATCCTTAACGTAAACGAGAAAACAAAAAGGGACAAAAAACAAAACAGTCACAAAAACAGAATGAAACAAAAGACTATTATAAATATAGCAGGTGAATATATTACCTCAGTTTAAAGGTATATTATTCACAAATTAGAATAATTAGAGTGATGTACGCATTTTCCTAAAAGGCAATATAAAAGGAGCTAAATGAACCAAAATTTAGTTTCTTGGTTACATTTGATTTAGAAATAAATTATACTTTTCTTTCAAAATTTCCCAAAATGCTGATGAAAAAACTTGAATAATAAGATTAGTGTGTGTAATTAACTTTTGTATATATTTTCAGCTCTTGATTTCCCAGATGACAGGTGATAGTGCCAAGGAGACCCTTTGCCAAGTGGTAGAAAGACAGCCCGGTCTTATTTTTGACATCCTAGACAGAGTTGCTAGTGGACAGGGTCAGCCAGGGTATCACCCTCAGCCTGGAAGTTCAGCCCCTCAATGGTGCTATTGTTCTCATTGTTACGAAATGCCAACAAAGTAAATAGTAAAGGTTAGTTAAAAAATTTTGTTTATATGAATAGTAAATTGTAATTCTAAAAATATTCAGCACATCATTGTGCTGTAAAAGTTATCTTTACGTCTAAGACAGTGAGGGTTTCTATACTCAACAGCCGTTTTGGGCTTTTTCAGGGATTTTTATTTTTTCTATTCCTTTAAAATATAAGAACTGTATGTATCATACACAATTTTTATAACATAACATTATTCCGTGAAGTACAATTTTTGTATACATTTGAAGGATATTGAGCGCTATGTATTAGATGAAGGTTTTTTTTTCCATAGCCCGGACATGGAGACGAAAGGTTTTGGTACATCCCAATGAGGACGGCATATACAAGGCTTACAGACATGCTGTCTATCGCCAGTTCACCATGTGGGGCCAGTGCCGTTTGGGAGCTGGAGTAAGGCTGGTCATACCAAGTTGTTGTGTCTGGGTTATAAGAGACAAGTACCCAGACTCGTTCGGACAATATACAGGCTTTATTTCCAGCAGACTTGCGTAACTTTCTGATAATATTTTATCCAACAAGTTTAAAAAAATTCAATATTTAACCAACACAGTATAGTCACTCTACAGTATAGTCACTCTATAAGTTTATATGCCGACAGGGCGTCTGTCCATCTGTCATCTCAGAGGATAAACATTATTGGGTAAAGGTTTGTGTACTTTAACAGATTTTTTTTTTATTTGGTAGGAACATAACTTGGGAAGTGTTAAACCTTTGGATCGGGTTATGGGTCATTGTCAATTATGCTAAAAAAAGATTTTTACACTTGGTCAGCCTTTGTTTAATCAGACTTGAAGGTAGTCCTACATTTTCCTACTTTTTTGCCATTTTACTATTTTTTTCCTACTTTTTTTACAAATATTCTTACTATTTCTACTTTTTGAATAAACATGAAACTAAAAAATGTATAATTTAACATGTTTAAGTCATTTTTTAGAAAAAAATTGCTACATGATATAAGGACTGAATTGCATGAACTGTTATACTATTGTTAAGGTTCCTATGGAGTCCTTTAAAATGCTTCTGTTGACCTCTTATGAAAACTAATGCCTTTCTTACTGTGTGTGAACTACTGTATGTTCTTGCCAAGTGGCAAGTTGGAGTTAAAAACATTTTGAACTTGTATGCTGCCTTTTATGTGAATGATGTGCTCTGTACAAATTCTATATACTCTTAGATTTGCAAACTGAGGGGGAATTATGCGCCTTTCAATAGTTCTGGTAAGGATACCAGGATTAGGAAACTTTTTTATTCAGATATTTGAAATTTCATAAATGTCTTAAAATATTTCTCATAGGCTACTGAGGGTTATTCTAACTGTAAAGCAACAATAGGTTTTAACATATCAATTCTGGTCAAGTGCGTTTTTTCCCTAAATAAAAGTTTTATGATAACCGTATTTGTTCGGGTAGTAAAATAAATTACACATGGTTATGTGATTAATAGTAAACATATCATTCCTCGTAAAAATACTGTTACCCTCGGCTAACACATTGGGTAACAGTATTTTCCTTTGGATGATATTTTTACTTTTACGCATGTGTTATTGATATTCTACTGATTCAATCTAATATTATACTCAATAGCATTTTGTTTATTTGCACATGTGATCATTTGTTTTTGTGGTGATTTACCTATCTAGCAGTAGTTTTGCATGTTGTAATGCTTTAATTTAGTTACATGATAGAATAGCATCCTACTGTCTTTTGATATCAATTAGCCTCAAATAAAATAGTTTATTCTCTATAGACATGTGTATAGACCTAATTGCTCGGCAAGTATTTTTCATAGTCAGAGATGCATCCGTCCATATACGTTCCATTTACATGACCACTCATATCATTTTCGCAATTGAACGGACAAGCGTTCTTTAAATTACATGCTTCACTCTACATCCCATACGACATTCTTTCAGTTATAATTTTATTATGATTATAAAGACAGACATAAAATAAATGATATATTTCCAGATACATAAACAAGAAATAAGTAGGTTTGTTTCTGTCGTTGAATAATTAATTTATTCATTTTCTTTGTTTAATTTGATTTAGGGAAAGTAGCTTATACTTTTGATAAATAGACATTATAAATTTTCTAATGTCTGTCTCATTTAAGCAGATATGAATCATTAAGATGATAACAATGCCGGCAGGTATATTTTAGAATTTGTCAATAATTCATATGATTTTAATATGTAAGAAATGGCACATTATATGACATAACAATTAGCTGTTAAAACGTTAGAAATAAAAATTCAAGAAACATGCGTACTTTTGTCATAACTTTAATATATCTAAGTTCCTACTATCATACTATCTTCGTAATCAAACTGTTTTACAGACTTACGTATAGTACACATATCTCCTCGATAACCAGCCTCGCATCTACCAATGCAAAAACCATTTGTATGATTACAGGCACCATTTTTGCAAGTGGTAGAACATTTTCCCTTACATTCTGTCCCAAATGACCCATAACGACAATCTGAAAAAGGGTTACCAATATGTTTCATTTTTTATTGATTGCCAACAAAAAGTAATATAGTTATAGAAAGAAGAAACAATAAGCAGCAATAACAACACTTCCGCATAGATAACAAAATGACTCTACAAGTCTATGGTATCAATTCTATCAATTATAAAGAGTTATAATACAATTTTTTTAAAGGGATACTCAGGCAAAATAATGACAAAATATTAAAATGATCTTATGTACTCAAATCACACTAAAATGACTTTTCTTGAAAAAAAATAGAGAGAAATAAGAATCCCTAAAGAAAGCCCAACACGGCAAAATTGAAAATGTTGCCGGCTCGGTTTGATTGAGCCTGTTCATGGACGGTACTGTCAAACTACCGTCCACACCCCCTATCACCGGCTTAAGCAGAATTCAACATTTAATATAAACTGGTAAAAAATTTAGAATTTTGAAACATCCGCAGATGTGTTCAAATGACGGTAATCATCATGGAGCCTTCAATGTGACACGTTAGTGCCATTTCATGAAATTCATGAAAAGTGAAAGTTTCAGCATGAATTTCTGTTTAAATTCTATATATTTTGGGTTTGAAGCGTAAAAATATCTATATATATTGAACAAATTTAGACACCAATTTTAAAACAAGTCAGGTGACTTGAACAAACCCTTGAAGTTACAATAATGTATGATTGAAACAAGCCTTAGACATTCATTTGACATGTTCTTAAACTTTTCCAGAGTTAACTTTGCAACTATTGTGAAATGCTAGCGCTCTAAACTGACCCACAAGGGTCAAGTAAGGAGACCAACATTTAATTATCTTTATGAAAAAAGTTGTGTTCCTTTGACTGTCAAATATATTCATTTGAGGGCATCTACGGAATAATTAATGAAAAATTCAAAACTAAGAAAAACATTTCCCTGTGTTTCCCTTTAAAAGATATGTGATTGAATCAGCAGACATGATAAAAAAATTATTTCTGAAGCAAGATACGAGTATGTATGTTGTCTTATGTCAAGGTTTGCATTTCAAACCGTCGTGAATATAAAAGTGAGAAAAAGACCTTATCAAAATTGTGTGAAAAGAAAGTTTTTATTGCACTCCTCCTCAATGAGATCTATCCACCTATAAAGTTTTAAGTTGTTACCTGTAATACTTTTTGAGAGAAACTCCGGACAAAAGTTATGGAAACTAAAAAAGACAATAACTCAAAAATTATAAATGGTACAGTTATCATACTTGTCTCAATAAGATCTTTTCATCTATAACGTTTCATGTTGACATCTCAAAGAGTTTTTAGCTCATCTCCACTTAGGAAACAATAAGTATGAAAAATAACAAAGGGCAATTACTCAAAATTATAAGGGGTAGAGTAACCATTCTTGTGCAGTCACATCTCCTAAGTGAGATATATCCACCTATGAAGTTTCATTTTGATATCCCAAAGGCTTTTTAGTTATGCTCTGGACAAAAATTTAGTATGAAAAAAATAACAAAGGTCAATAACTGAAAAACAATTGCAGAGTAGGTCATCATTCTTGTGTGCTGCACTTTTTCCTCAATGAGATCTATCCACCTATGAAGATTCAAGCTAATACCTCTAACGCTTTTGAGATAAGCTCAGGACAAAAAGTATTGAAAAATAACAAAGGGCAATAACTCAGAAAGTATATAGGAATAGTTATCATTCTTGCCTTGCGCACATCATTCCTCCTCAACAAGATCTATCAATCTATGAAGTTTCATGTTGACATCTCAAAGATGTTTTGAGTCATGTCCCATTCAGGTGAAAAATTAGGTATGGAAAATAACAAAGGGCAATAACTCAAAAATTTTGAGGGCCTTCTGCACCGCACACCTTCTTAGTGAGATCTATCCACCAATGAAGTTTCATGTTGAGACCCTTTACAAGTAGTTGAAAACAGCCGGGTCTTATTTTTGACATCTAGTGGACAGGGTCAGCCAGGGTATCACCCTCTGCCTGGAAGTTTAACCCCTCAATGGTGCTATTGTTCTAATTGTAAATACTAAAAACATTTAGCACATCATTGTGCTGCATAAGTTATCTTTACGTCTAAGGCATAAGGAGTTTCTATAAATTTTGAAACAAAATAAGTTTCTAAGTTATAGTGTTTTATTCATTTGTTATTTTGTTTGGTTTGGGGAAGGGGGTGATGTGATTGGTTAATTTAAATTTATTTGTAAATAAAAGCCTGTAACGAGTTTTATAAGATGTACTGCATTTTTCACTTTTATTGTCTGCAACATTTCAATGTTGCCGTTTTTGGCTTTCTTTAGAGATTCTTATTTGTTCTATTCTTTTAAAGTATAAGAACTGTATGTTTTATACTGAATTTGTATAATATAACATTACTCCATGTAGTACAATTTCTGTATACGTTTGAAGGATATGGAGCGCAATGTATACATATGATGGAGGGGTTCTTTCCATAGCCCGGACATACAAACGGTTGGTTTTTGGTACATCCCTATGAAAACGACAAGGCTAGAAGATATGCTGCCTATCGCCAAATCACCGTTTTGTGTCATTGCGTTTTGAGTTGGAGTAAGGCTGGTCATACGTAGTTGTTCCGGTTATAGAGACAAGTACCCAGACTAATTCGGCCAGTATAAATGTTTTATTTCAAGCAGACTTACATAACTTTCTGACAATATGTTATCCAACAAGTTTAAGAAATATAATTTTTAATAAGACAGTGTCGTCACTCTACAGTTTAGTCACTCTATAAGTTTATATGCCCACAGGGCTTAAACGTGTACATCTGTCTGATCTTAGGGGATAAACATTTGTGGGTAAGGGTGTCTGTACTTTAACAGAATGTATTTAAATTGGTAGGAGCATAATTTGGGAGGTATCAAATCTCCGGATATTGTTAGGGTTTAAGGTCAATTATGCTAAAAATAGATTTTTACACTTGGTCGACCTTTATTTATTCAGACTTGAAGGTAGTCCTACTTTTTCATACTTTTCTTACTTTTTTACCATTCTGGTGTTTGTTTGATTGGCATTTACGTCACACCGACAAAGTTTAGGTCATATGGCGACGCTTCTGCTTTACTGGTGGAGGAAGACCTCAGGTGCCCTTTCGTGCACAATTGCAGACACAAACGGGCACCTGTGTAAACACCACCGTTCCGTAAGCTAGCGAAATAGCTTTCCCACTCTCCAGCTAGCTTACGGAATATGACTGATGGCAAATACTGTTATACTATTGTTCAGG